GCAAAAATTAGTCGAACGCTGCAAACAGGCGAATGGTGCTATTTGCCGGGAAAAAGTGAACAGCATGTGTTTGTGACGAATCAGCCGAACGGGCTTAATTCGTGCACGAAAAACAGCCAAACACAGCGGAGAATGGGGCGCAAAAGGGCGCCAAGGGACAGGGAGAGGTGACAGCAAGACGGAGATAAGGAAAAACACAAGGAAAGGCACAAGGAAAATCACAGGGACAGGGTCAATTGAAAAGGGGTAATAAACAAAATATATAACAGGGGAGGTCTGGACCCTGGGTAAACAGAAAAAACACAAAGATGTGTAGCATCAAACAAGCAGAGAAAACAAATAATAAAAAATCTCTAATAAATAAAATAGAAGACAATAAAAGAATCAATAACAGATAAACCTATACAGTGTAATGCAAGGATATCAATAATAATATCAATAGCAGGTAATAAACAAGTAATCATAGAGAAGATGTGACATGTACTTATCTTTGTATCGGAGCAGCAAAGAAAGAGGGAAATGGAAGGGAAGTGCCGCCTATTATACTGGGACCTGAGCGGGGAGGGGCCTATGTTACTGTATGTTCATTATTTTTTCATTCTGTTTGTATTCTTTACTGATATTGGTGGACAGTAAAGAAAGGAGTATGCAATATGAGCCTCCGTGTCTTGTTATAAAATGTATTTGCACTTGTTATTATCAATAGCTAATTCTCCCTTTCCCCCCATAATCAATAGCCATTTTCCACCCATATAACCGGTTTCCCATTCTCTTTTTAGTCACTAGTCTATTTCCATCCTTAGTCAATAGTTCGACCTTAGAGTCAGTAGCCCATTTATTTTCCCCATTAGCCAATATTTCCACCAAATGCCATTCTCATGCCATTTCTCCCAACTGCAATTCCCCTACAATTTCCCTAATTCCATGATATTTAATAATAACAACTCCAATGCCATTGTTCATCACTGCACACAATTACCTACTCCTTTTTACACACATACAAAAACATATTATCTCCAACACACACAGACACACACAGGGAAACATGTTATTGTTTTTTTCCCAGTATTATAAAAAGGGTCCAGGCAATTCAATGTCTTCAAGCACCTTTATTAGAACATGTGGAACACTAATAAAGGTGCCTAAAGATATTGGAGTGCCTGGACCTTTTTTCTAATACTGGTATTCATTATCTTTTGGGCTTGTGCTGGCCCCTTCTTCAGCTAAGCATCCTGTCTTGAGTGAATTGAGTGTGTGTGATTCCTTTTTCATTTTTGTAATTGCTCTTTTTCATACACACTTTTCTTGGCATTGATTAAACTCAAAAACGTCCTTCATCAATGCTCATAGAAATTAGAATGTATCTACTTCAATTGTGAAAGTGTTTGGGGGCTCTTAACACTATAGCAATCATCATCTTCTCATTAATTGACTAAAAACATCTCTATGGGGATCATCCAACTTGTTTATGCTAAAAGATTGCAGTTCAATTCTGCAATCTTTGCAGGCCTTCACCAGGAAACCCCTCTTGTGGCTGTCTGAGTGACTGCCACTAGAGATGGCATTAGGCAGTAATTTAAACACTGCCTTTTCCCTGGAAAAGGCTTTGTTTACAATGTTGAGACTGCAGGGACAGGTAATTTTTATAACTTCATAGTGTTCCCATAAGAATATAAAAGGACCAGTAATGTTTTTGTTTTTATTATGTCAATGCATCCCTCCTTTTGTCTCTTTGTAATCCTATCTCTTTTGTGTATCTTCAGACCCTTGTGTCTCTCCTTCCCCCTTACACTCTTGTGTATTTCTTCTACTCATATGTGTCTCTCCATTGTGGGTCTCTCCAAAAACCCTCTACCCTCTTGTGTGCCTAGCTTGACCTCTCTCATTCATTTGCGTATCTTCATAAACCTCCCATACAACTTGTTTGTTTCTTATCTACCCATTAGCCCTTGTAAACACCATGGGCATCCGCAGGAATTTTTCTGGGGGGATGTGGGGAGAGGGCATAATTTTAATGACATCCATGCTTGGTCCCTTTTTGACAGTGTCATGAAAGGAAAGGGGCATAGTCATTATCACATTATCACATAAAGTCAGGGTGAATAGCATTTTCACAACTATGGTGTCAGGAATACATGTTTGTATTCCTGACACTATAGTGTTCCTTTAAGCAAATTAAAGGAACATTCTGGTCCTTTACCTTTTTGCTTCTTTTGCGCCCTTCAGCTCATTTCTCTTTCTGATCCTTTTCTCTTCCTTGCAGACCCTTTCTGCTCCTTCTCCTATTTCACCTTTGTGATCCTTGCTGTCCCTTCCTGCTCATTTCTGCTCCTTCTCCTTTTTGCTCCTTGCTGTCCCTTCCTGCTCTCACTTACTCGATCTGTAGGCTGCCCCCTCCCATCTCTCACTTACCTCATCTGTAGGCTGCCACCCCATCCCTCATTTACTGGATCTGTAGGCTGTCTCTCCCACTCCCCCCATCCCTCACTTACCTGATCTGTAGGCTGTCACTGCAGTCTGGGAGTTGTTGGCTGCATGTGCTGCTCCCCTGCGGTTTCAGTCAGGAGAGAGAAGCAGGGATACAATCTAACTTCCTATCCCTGCCTCTCTCCACACACAGCGCCAGGGCCGGACTGGCCCACTGGGATACCGGGAAATTTCCCGGTGGGCCGTCGGCACCTGGGGCCGGGCAGACATCTGGATGACCTGCGGCCGCAGGGTGAGCTCTTCTTTTGGCGCTTCTTTTGGCGGCCTGAGGGTGAGCTCTTCTTCGGGCGGTCGCTGGGTGTACTCTGAGGGCGGCCGCAGGGAGAGCTGGCTGTTCTGGCTCTGCTCTCCCGCCCTCGCCGCTGCTGAATGAGACCGCAGCCAGAATATAACGTTATTATTATTTTTTTCCCCTCACTTCGTGCTGGTCTCCCCTCAACTGGCCCTGCCTCTATGGCTGAGATCATCAACATGTTTGTCTCTTGCAATCCACCTTTATGGGTCTCTTAACTCATACCCTCGCCCCCCCAATATTGTAGAGTGATCAAGTAGGACCATTGCAAAGGAGAAGGCTCTGTGTGTTCCTCTGTCCAACCTTACATTGGACCTCTAAGTGTAGTGAGTGAGTGGCAAGAAAGGTGCAATATGATGTTTAGCCATCTACCCACCAACTGACTGCATACCACTTAGATCTTCAATTACAAAGGAGTATGCAGATCCTTATCCTACTTTCCCAATCAACAACACTACTAAGAGTGACAATGCAAGAAGAATGTACACCTCAGCCTGTTACCCAGGACAGACCACCCCCATTTTAGTACACCATTGTGTGTACTACTTTTCACAAAAGCTTATTGAGTAGTTAGTGTTGTTTTTTTCTAGATAAAAATAAGTCTTTATGGTCTAATCCAGTTCCAAATAATTTTTTATTTATGTGGTCAGTTTGCTAAAGTCAGACTGATCCTTTGCTTTAAGGATGTAGCACTTGTGAGTGCAATATAGGGTTCATTGTCAGCCTCTTCATTTTATTTATCCTCAGTGGAAAATCGTAGAGAGTTTTGTAACTCCAACAAGCTGTAAATACTCACTTCAATTAAGTTAAGCCACCCAGCTAAACCACATTGTCCCTCAGCTGCATTTATTAAATAACTAACATAGACAGTTAAAACATTAAAAATTATGAGTTTACTCAAGTGCAAACTTTGCTTTTTTATTAATAGACCTTTCATAAGCTGATAACATATTGCATATTGGGGATGTTCTTAACATTATGAAAATGGTAAAAAATTAAATTAAAATTAATTAAATAAATAAATAAAATGTGACAACTTAGAGCTGTCAGGAAAAACAGTATCCCTGCTTTGAATTAAATATATTGCTTGTGACTGGTGACATAGGAATTCCTAAAACACAGAGCACATTATACAAATATAAATCCATATAGATATATATATATATATAATATAATAAAAGGGGAAACTGTAAATTGCTCTATGTCATTTGCTACATGTTGTTAGAACTTCACGATCTTTTGGGATCAGCTTTGACTTTCTGAAAATCGATGACTAAACTCAGAGTAAAAAGAATTACTTTACAAATAGATTAAATAAAGTCATTTGAAATCAATGTTTCATTTACAACTGTATAGGATTCAGCTACAAATAGATTAAAGAGAAGCTCACAGGATTACTAACTCATCTCCTGGTCACTAGGGAAGGGAAATTTCGTTATATTCATGTGAATTTAAAAAAAGTGTGAGAGATAGATTTGCATTGGGAATCCAAAGTGAACAAAAATCAGATTTTTAAATAAGATTGAAAAAAAAAAATCACACTATAAATAGGGATTCCCTAGCAGTCATCTAAGTGAATATGACTCTGCAATTGTAATTTAACTCATTTAAATTTGTGTACATAATATAAAAACCCAGATGTAATATTTGAAATAATAATCTAATTAGATCAAATATATCAAATACATAGGAAAAGGAATTGTACGAGCATTCAATGCATGTACAGAATGTTTATATCACCCTTCACCCACTTTCCATTTTGCTGCTAAACCTTATTTCACCCTAAAATTATTTAGTTCTAATGTGACTATGTCATCCCCTCCCTCATAAAAAGAGCATTTCATAAAGATAAAATGCCCACAAATTCTGGGCAGGAATTTCACGGAAATTTCACTAAATACCAACCCTGTGAAAAAAACTTCTATAAGACAAAGCAGGGACATTTTTTTTTAATGTATTTTTCCTACTCTTAACAAACCTTGATGAAAAGGCGGCGCTATCGCTTTCAAGATTTGTCAAGCCCTCAGCCATTACTAGTCTCACAGGATCCTACATAGGCGATGAAGTGCCACGAGCTGTAGATGACTTTGCAGAAGAAGATGGCAGCAGTCCCGAGAACAGGCTCAAAGAAGTAAAAATGATCTTCACCTGAACACCAGAGTTACCTCACTGGAAGCGGAGCAGTCACTTTCAGGGCAGCCTTCAGGTGGGTCCTACTCTGACCTGTCACCTTGCTTCCTTGAGGTTCTGGCAAAGATATTTCTAATGAGACAGAGAGGGGTAATTTTTTTATATACACCCCTATATACTTATCTTTGCCAGAAGCTCAAGGAAGCAAGGTGACAGGTCAGAGTAGGACCCACCTGAAGGGGGTCTGTCCTGACGTTGGCAAGCGAGCATTCCCTCCAATGGCCATATACATAGGCATTTAGGAGAGAGTGCAGGTAACTTTTCTTTGGTTTTTACTGTATGTATTGGGGCTGATGTGTACTGTGGTCGTTGCTGCCACCCAGGAGTGATGGGAGTGAGCGCAGGACTTGTTTTTTTGAAATATAAAATGTGATAATAAATGAATACCAAGTTATTTTCTAAAAAAAACTCACCTTCAAGTAAATCCCTCATACTGGTTTAGATAGAATCTGCGTAGATTTGCAGATTATTCGACTTCCAGTTTCTAGTAGTTAGCTCCATTATCTCAAAAGCAATGACTAATTATTTTTTTCCTCCAGCAGTAAAAGCATCTGATGTTGACCTTTTCAATCTGGGGCGATGTCCTTTGCTGGCATGATTCTATTGGTTTGCATGGGGCAGACCCATCAGTCAGTACATGTAGGCATGTGCACAAATACTGTTCCACCATGTTGCTGAAATCCCATGACGTTTCCTATCAGCTGGTGGTGCTGGTTGTTGTGGCGTGCTGAAAAAGCTTTTCCATAATTCGGCCATGCTAACCCTGCCTTCTGAGGTGCTGGCGGTGCCCCAGCTGCATTGGCAATCTCTTTCTCCTCCTCTGCCTTCACCTTGTGCTTCCACTGAGCCCCGGTGTCATTTGGGAATGCCCTCAGCAGCGCGTCTACCAGCGTGCGCTTGTAGTCGCACATCTTCCGATCACGCTCCAGTGAGGGAATTAAGGACGGCACGTTGTCCAGCAGGGTGGCCACCCAGTAATCAGCACAAGTTAGAATGTGGGCAACTCCACAGTCGTTGCGCAGGCACTGCAGCATGTAGTCACTCGTGTGCCAGGCTGCCCAGAGGCAAGGACAAGCTGTCCTCTGTGGTGGGTGTATCGTCTGTGTCCTCCGTATCCCCACAGCCATGCTCCAGTGATGCCCATGAGCTGCACTGGGTGCCACCCTACTGTGAACACAGTTCCTCATCCTCCAGAACTGTGCCCTGGCTGGACAATTGTGTACCTGGCCTATGCTGGTTCAGGAACCCACCCTCCGAGCCACTTGTGAATGACTGGCCTGATAACTGTGGAAATGACCCCTCTTCCTACTTCTCTTCAATAAGTCTCTGTGTCAGTCGATTTCAGCTGGATGAGAGACCAAAAATAAGCCTTGGTGTACAGCTCAATGCTTCATTTTATTTTTTGTTATTGTATTATTATATTTTATTGTATTTTACTTCATTTGCTCCTGAGGAAGTCTCCATTTGGGAGACGAAACGCGTTGAGCTATACACCAAGGCTTATTTTGGGTCTCTCATCCAGCTGAAATCGACTGACACAGAGACTTATTGATGAGCTTTTTTATCTTCCACTTTTTGTAAGTGTATTCAATTAAAGTGTAATTTAATATTTAAGCATTATTATACTATGTCCAGTTTTTTCCTTTTAATATGTACCCAGGGATTCTGAGGACGTTGGTGGCTGAATATTGAAAGACATTCTGATGGGCTTTTAACATTCCAACATCTTGTGAGTGCAATATTTACTTAAAGGGGCCACATCTTTGATTTTATAGTGTTGCCCTATGAATTTCTCTCTGTCCTGATTTTTTAGGTGTATCTTATATTTTATATTTGCATTTTGAGGACCTTTGAGGAACCCTCTTGTTACTACCTGATTTATAAGGGAAGTGATTACCTTTATTGAAGATCTTTTCTGCTGCACCTGGGTGGTCTACATTTATACATATATACTCCAGAGGTGGAGGAAGAGGCAGCAGCAGAAGAGGAAGCAGGAGGAGCCTGAGACCTTTCTTGGTTTTTGAGGTGCTTACTCCACTGCAGCTCGTGCTTTGTATGTAGATGCCTGGTCATGCAGGTTGTGCCCAGGTTTAGAACGTTTATGCCTTGCTTCAGGCTCTGATTGCACAGCGTGCAAACCACTCGTGTCTTGTCATCAGCACATTGTCTGAAGAACTGCCAGGCTAGGGAACTCCTTGGAGCCGGCTTTGGTGTGCTCAGTCCCTGGGTGCAGTGGGCAGTAACAGGCATACTGTCTAGTGGACGGCCGCTCCGCTTTTGCACCCTGCTCCCTCTTATGCTGTGCTGGTGCCACCGCCTCTTCCTCCAAACTGCACACGTCACTTGCATGACCTTGATTTCATGTGGGGTCTAGGACCTCATCATCCTCCACATCATCTTCCACCCACTCCTCAACCCTGCCCTTCTTGCCGTTCTGCACACTGCAGAAAGCCACAGCAGTTGGCACCTGTGTTTCGTCATCATCAGAGACATGCTGCGGTGGTCCTCGTATGTCCACATCCTGAAACATAAGTGGTTGTGCATCAGTGCAGGGCCAGACTGGCCCACCGGGATACCCGGAAATTTCCTGATGGGCCATGGCATCTGGGGGCTGCGTTGAGCATGTATGTGCCACCAGGTGGCCGGTCCGGTGGCACACACTCTGAGGTTGCCGGCCGGCGGCCGCATTCTACGCTGGAGCCGCCGGGTCGGGTGGCAGCCTCGCCGGTCTGGCGGCACTCCTGTCAGGCTTTCTGTCACTAATGCTGAGGAGTTCGGACTGAAGGAGGAGGGAGGAGCATGTCTATGTATCATGCTCCCTCGCAGTTCCCACAATCCCCAGCACAGTACTGTATAATATAAGTATAATATTATAATCATATATATATATATAATTATGCCTATTATATTTATACATATATTAATGTACATTTCTATATGCATAATACACAGATAAATGTCATTAATATGTACTATATGTAATGAGCAGATATTGGCCCAGTCTTGTTGCTAGGTGCATACTCCAGCACAATAACATATTTAAAGTGCGCACCCACGGGACTTCAAAATAAACAAGATAACGTCAGTTTTTTACAGTTGTGCCCTACATACATTTACCATTTCAGTCCCATTACCAAGCTTTCCGTAATATGTCAAGGTAATTGGACTGAAACATTGATTACATGCAAAGGCACGTCTGCGTAAAATAAATCTGCACTTTTGTTTATTTTGAAGCCTATGAGTGCTTTTTTTTACGTTGGAGTAATAATTTTTAATTTTAAGATCTCTTTTCTAACTATGTATCTGCACACTATACTGGCGCGATGCATTATGGGGCTGGTAAATATTTTTTTCCAGGGCTGCTTTTAATTCCGAGTCCGGCCCTGCATCAGTGCACTCAATCTCTTCCACTTCTGGGGCAGGGCTAGGTGCATGGCCCACGGAAACCCCGCCAGCAGAGTCATCAAAAAGCATAAGAGACTACTGCATGACGTGTGGCTCAGACTGCTTGGCTGATTTGCAAGGGGGTGAGGTGAAAGACAGATGGCCATGGGCTGCAGGTGCCAACTCTGAGCTTTCAGCAGGGGACCGGGTGGGAGACAATGTGAAGGAACTGGAGGCACTGTCAGCCATCTAATCTACTATCGCCTGTACTTGTTCTGGCCTCACCATTCGTAGAGTGGCATTCGGGCCTACCAAATAACGCTGAAGGTTCTGTCGCCTACTCGCACCTGAAGAAGGTGTTTCACTTGTGCGTGTAGCTGGCACAGATCGACCACGTGCTCTCCCTGCAAAAGGAGTTCCACCAACACCAGCAGCACCACGACCAGGGCATTGTCCCTTATTTGACGCTCTCCTCATTCTTTGCGTTCACCCACCAAACTAACAGATGGTTTATGTCAGGCGACAATGTAACCGCCAATAGTCAACAATTAAGTTCACTGACAGTAAGGCAGTGCCGATGTCCTAAATAGAAACAATTTCTAGAGGTCACACAACAGTGTGACAGGCGTAATTAATACAGTTACTTCACTGTCTCAAAAAATGTGAATTTGTAAAACAACAATGTAACAGTAGCATTTAACGGTTTTATTGGACTGCAAGAAATGCACCGCAGGCCACAAATGTACTATTTAGCACCAAAAAAATGTTAATTTTTCAAAGTGTGATGTAACCACAGTATTTGACGGTTCTATTTGACTCTCAGATATGAAGTGCACGCCCCAAATTTACTTTTTAGCACCAAAAAAATGTGAATTTGTCAAACTGCAATGTCACAGCAGTATTTAAAAATGCCTAGATGTTGCCCACTGAGCTACCAGAACAGGATTAAAGTAATGTGCCTGGCACACATGCAGTTACAAGTGCACTGCACTTGCAAAAATGGCCGCCGATGCCCACCTAACAAACAGACTGATTGCTTTTTTCTCTGTGGCACTGGGCTCAGGGCAGGGTACAAAAATGTAGTATAGCACTCACAAAAATAATTGCTGTAATTTGTAGATTCAACACCAGAATTCTTTCCTAATCTGTCCCTCACAGCTGCAGCATCCTCTCCCTACACTAATAAGAGCTTATGTGACGTGAGGCTGGGTCACATGCTGCACTGGCCAATCACAGCCATGCCATTAGTAGGCATGGCTGTGATGGCTTCTAAGGGCACACGAGTCCCACGCTTGTTGATTGGCTGCCCTGCAACTTTTCAAAACGCGCCATTAAATCGCCAAACACCAATCTCGAACCCGAACTGTTACTGAAATGTCCGGGTTCGGGGTAAAAAAATCTTAATGTTCGGTAGGTGTCTTCCCCCGGAACACTTACAGGTTAGGTGGTCTGACTGGGATTTGAACCTGGGTTTCCCAAGTCTAAGACAGTGACACATCAAAAACACATCAACATATTTTTGTATTAACCTCACACATTCACTATGTCTCAATTTATAGAAACTGAACTTGATGACTGTTAGTCTAAACAATTTAAAAATAATATAGTCATAACTCCAGGACTAAATTCAAAGAAAAAAAAAATGACAGGTGTGCATGATGTCATCTTGCTAAAACAACTACTGTATATAGTCCATTAGGTGCAAATGAAAATTCAGGGGCAAAGGTCATTAAATAAAAACATTATTCACAAGCAAGACCACTAGTCATGTGAT